GGATTACAGGCGTGAGCCACTGCGCCGAGCCTTATCTCCCTTTTTATACAAATGGCAGCATGCGTTACACACTGCACTGCTCCTTGCGTTTCTCACTTAACACTACCTCTTGAAGATCAGTCCATCTCTAACTACACAGAGTCTCCTCTTGATACCTGGTATCCCAATGAATGGATAGACTATACTTTATTTAATGAATCCTCTTTTAATGGACAGTTGAGCTGTTTCCAGTCTTCTTTTTTTTTTTTCAGATGGAGTCTCACTCTGTCTCCCAGGCTGGAGTGCAGTGGCATGATCTCGGCTCACTGCAACCTTCACCTCCTGGATTCAAGTGATTCTCCTACCTCAGCCTCCTGAGTTGCTGGGGTTACAGGTGTGCGCCACCACGCCCGGCTAATTTTAGTATGTTTAGTAGAAATGGAGTTTCACCATGTCGGTCAGGCTGGTCTCGAACTCCTGACCTCAGGTGATCTGCCCGCCTCGGCCTCCCAAAGCGCTAGGATTACAGGTGTGAGCCACCTCGTGTGGCTTGTTTCCAGTCTTTTGCTATTAACAACAAAAAACTAGCTCTTCCTGGGTGCCAAGTTCTGTTCCATATTGTTTCACATAAATCATTTTATTTAACCCTCAGCACTGCAGAGAAACCTTTCACCTACATGACTTCACACAAGGGTAATATATATGCCAGATAAATCCCTAGACGTACAATCTCTGGAACTGAGGCTGTGTGCATTTGATTTTGGCACATATAGTGGTTATGCCAATTCACCTCCCCACAAGGAATGTAAGCACATGCTTGATTGCTCCCATCATATGCTGTCAAAATTTGAGTTTTACTAATGGGATAGGTAAAAAATTGTGGTATTATAGTATGGCTTTATTTTGGATTTCCTTTGCTGTGAGTGAGGTTAAACATCCTTTTGTAAGTTCAAGGACAATTTTTATGTCCCTTTTCTATGAAATATTATAGTTTACTAATTTTTTATTTTAGTTTTAATTGACAAACAATAATTTAATATACTTTTATATTGAGTTGTCTTTTTCTCAGTAATATGTAGGCCCTCCATATAGTAGGGAAACTTGCCTGTGATACGAATTGCAAATGTTCCTTTGGCTTTGCTTATAAAGTTTTTTTGCCATGCAGAGTTTAAAAAGTTATACAGACGAATTTATCATTTTCTGTTTATTTCTGTCTTCAGGAACAGTTTTTCGTTTGTTTGTTTGTTTTTTTCCCAAGACGGAGTCTTGCTCTGTTGTCCAGGTGGGCGTGCAGTGGCACAATCTCCGCTCACTGCAACCTCCACCTCCCGGGTTCAAGCAGTTCTCTGCCTCAGCCTTCCGAGTAGCTGGGATTACAGGCGCACACCACTATGCCTAGCTAATGTTTGTATTTTTAGTAGAGACAGGGTTTCACCATGTTGACCAGGCTGGTCTCAAACTCCTGACCTCGTGATCCGCCTGCCTTGGCCTCCCAAAGTGTTGGGATTACAGGCGTGAGCCACCGAGCAAGCCCGGCCTTCAGGAACAGTTTCTTTTCTTTCTTTTTTTTTGTTGTTTGTTTTTTGGTTTTTTTTGAGATGGAGTCTCACTCTGTCACCCAGGCTGGAGTGCAGTGGTATGATCTCAGCTCACTGCAGCCTCTGCCTGCTGGGTTCCAGTGATTCTCCTGCCTCAGCCTCCCAAGTAGCTGGGACTACAGGCACACACCACCATGCCCGGCTAATTTTTGTATTTTTTAGTAGAGACAGGGTTTCACCATATTGGCCTCGAACTCCTGACCTCGTGATCCTCCCACCTCTGCCTCCCAAAGTGCTAGGATTACAGGCATGAGTCACTGCGCCAGGCCAGGGACAATTTCTAAGTGAAAAAAAACAATTTGGTTTCTGTTTTTACGTCATTATTAGAAAGCCTGAGGTTTTTTGTTTTTTTTTCTCATTGTTTCTTCTAGAATATTTATAACTTTATTTTTTTTAATTTTACTTTTTTTAAAAAAAAACTTGTATCTGTTTAGAATTTTCCCTGATTAAGGAGTGAAGGATAAATTATTTTTTTTCTAGATAGATACCTGATTCAGCTAACATTTATTGATTAATCTATCCTTCACAAATCAGAGATACCACTTTTTATCCTAAATTAAATTCTCATCTCGACAGAATTTTAGAATGAGATGGTGCATATAATTTTGTGATGCCAAATTTGGATGTTCTCTTCCTAATGCTTCCTAAGATAGTAATTATACAGCTTATTTATCATTTTTTATTGGAAAAAAAAGAGAGAACACATCAAACTTCTGAGAGCACATTATCCCAATAGAAATGTGTATGCTTTTGAGTAGAAGAAATAAAAAGGGAAAATTATAATTCTTTAATCGGATGGCTTTTAGAATAATCTTAGTTTTGTATTTTTTTTCTATAAACCCAGGAACTTGATAATCTTAGTTCTGTTTTATTTTATTTTCTTTTTTTTAAGACAGAATCTCAGTCTGTTACCCTGGCTGGAGTGCAGTGGCGTTGTCATGGCTCACTGTAGCCTCAACATCCCTGGACTCAGATGATCCTCCCACCTCAGGCTCCTGAGTAGCTGGGACTACAGGCATGTTCCACTACCCCCAGCTAATTTTTGTATCCTTTGTAGAGACAGGATTTTGCCGTATTGCCCAGGATGATTTTAAATTCCTGGGCTCAATAAATCCTCCCACCTTGGATTCCCAAAGTGCTTGGATTACAGGCATGAGCCACCGCATCTAGCCTTAGTTTTATTTTATTGAAGTGCACAGACAGTATAGTGGAAAGAATACTGGACTAGGAGGCAGGAGGTCTGTCAGCTCTTTGGTTTTTTGTTTTATTTATTTATTTATTTATTTTATTATTATTATTATTGAGACGGAATTTCGCTCTCGTTGCCCAGGCTGGAGTGCAGTGGCGTGATCTTGACTCACTGCAACCTCTGCCTCCCGGGTTCAAGTGATTCTCCTGCCTCAGCCTCCCAAGTAGCTGGGATTACAGGCACCTGCCACCATGCCTGGCTAATTTTTGTATTTTTAGTAGAGACAGGGCTTCACCATGTTGGCCAGGCTGGTCTCAAACTCCTGACCTCAAGTAATCCACCCGCCTCGGCCTCCCAAAGTGCTGGGATTACAGGCGTGAGCCACTGCGCTCAGCCAACTCCTGGCCTTTCTTACAGGTAGAATTATTTATGTAGTCCTCTGATTCTCTAGCACCATATATACCATGATAGGCTTATAAGCATCTATTATAATAGAGGTAGCTTCAATATTTTTGCTTGTCAATTAGACTTGAACTTTTGAGAGTACAGCCTGTGTATTATTCATCTTTGTATCTCTGCTCAGCTTCTGACATAGTTCCTGGTATATAATAGATACCCAGCTGAAAGAAAAGAATAAACATTTGCATACATGACTATATAGCTCCTATTTGATAGAAGTTGGAAAGGCCTCTATCAGAATCAGAGCATGTGAGCCTCCGCAGCTGGTAAAACCAAATAATTCATTCATTTGTTTTGTTTCTCTTTGAATGCATGAGAACCTGAACTTGAAATTGTTAAATGGCTTATAGTCTATTTTAAAGGTGTGATCTACAGGGTAAAAATCAGATATTTTCTCTGATTGTACATTTTAGCTTTTGCATTTTATTTTTAAAAGCTATGTTTCAATTGTAGGGGCACGCCTGTAGTCCCAGCTACTCTGGAGGCTGAGGCAGGAGGATTGCTTGAGGCCAGGAGTTCAAATCCAACCAGGTAACATAGGGAGACCCTGTCTCAAAAAAAAAAAGGCACACTTGGTGTGCTTGGTAAATAAGAATATTGATTAAAGTGAGATTAGGAAATAAATACAGAAACATCACACTTAACAAGCATTCAGACTTCTGTCAGTTACAGCTATCTGGAACATATTCAAGAACCCAGAGGGAATCTAAAAAAGCCTCTGAAGTTGGAGGAGAATAGCTCTCACAAAGCATGTGTACTTGATGTAGGAGGGAGAGGCACAGTGCCACTCACATGCCAAAGCCCTACTTACTGACTACACATTTTCATAAAAAAATTCCAAGGACTGCTTAGCATGTGTGGTCATTCGGCCTCCTTTCAAGACATTTTAGCTTGTTTCTGGTTTCAGCAGAAAAAAGATTAAAAGAACTCTCCCACCCATGCTGCCAAGAAGGCACTAAATAAAGTATTGTTGACACGAGCGTAAAAGTGATTCTCATGGTTTTCTTCAGAAATCATGGAAACTTACTTTGTGTTTATTTTTTAGTCTTTAAGAATTCTGCTGGACTCATGCAAAATCAGTTGTGACAATACTTAATTTATTCTACTTTTTAAAAAATCTGAGGTTTAAGAAGAGCGATATCCCTTTGATCTCACCTCTTTGAAAGGGGGTCATTAATTTGAGAAAGATTTCTTTATTCCTTTGAGTATTTAGATTATTAACCATAGGTTGAAATCCTCAATATGAAAGGAGCATGTATAAACTTCTTTGCATAATTTGGTAAAAGCTATATAAGTAAGTCAAGGTAAAAAGTCAAAAGGCATGTTTAAGTGATTTGGGGACTTTTTTTTTTTTTTTGAGTCGGAGTCTCCCTCTGTAGCCCAGGCTGGAGTGCTGCAGTGTGATGTCGGCTCACTGCAACCTTTACCTCCCAGGTTCAAGCGATTCTTCTGCCCCAGCTTCCTGAGTAGCTGAGACTGCAGGTGTGTCACCACACACCTGGCTAATTTTTGTATTTTCGATTTTGTATTTTTGTATTTTGTATTTTTAGTAGAGACAGCGTTTCACCACGTTAGCCAGGCTGGTCTGGAACTCCTGACCTCAAGTGATCTGCCTGCCTTGACCTCCCAAAGTGCTGGGATTACAGGCAAGAGCTACTGCACCCGGCCGATTTGGGGGCCTATTTTAATGCATGCTAAATATGCTTTTTGTGTAGGGGCTATAGATTAATGAAAATTGGGATCATTCACTTCTCGCTTTCTTCTTCTATTTCTAGATTGCCAAAATGCTTTGGAGTTTTTAACTGAATCTAAGAAAAGTCCAAAATAGATTTGAGACTGTAAAAACAGAAACTGCAGCAAGGGGGATTCAGTGCCAATGCATCAACAAAAAAGACAGCCAGAGTTAGTGGAAGGAAATCTTCCTGTTTTCGTGTTCCCCACGGAGCTCATATTTTATGCAGATGATCAGTCAACACATAAGCAAGTGTTGACACTGTACAATCCCTATGAGTTTGCCTTAAAGTTCAAAGGTGAGTCTCCTAGCTCTATTTTCTGGGTTTTTAACTGCTCCCTACTAATTTTTTACTTGTAGAAACTAATTAAAAAAAAAAAAAAACCACTAATGGCCATTGTGACTTTTTCTTTCAGTTTTGTGTACTACTCCAAATAAGTATGTTGTCGTTGATGCTGCAGGTGCAGTAAAGCCTCAGTGTTGTGTGGATATGTAAGTCAAGATCACTTCTTGGTAACACGTTTTAAGTGTGTTAATATTTATGTTTTTAACTTGAGAAAAAAAGATATTTTCTTGAAGCTGTTCTCACATAGGCATTTATTATATCTTGAATTTTTGCTGAAAATTTGTCTATTAAAATTGTTTCGAAGAGATTCGGCCAAATACTTAATAATATTTCATATTGTTGGAGCTCATGTATGTGTTAGTATCTCCGTGAACATTTTCTCATTGTTGTGGTTTTAGTCATACCAGGGATGTATAAAGGTAAAGTTCTGACTTATTCCTTTAAATTTCTCCAGCTATGATAGGGGATTTAGCTTTCTTTGGAACATGCTGCTATTTGGAAAACTATAATACTACTGTCTAAGAACAATGGTAATATGAGTTCATCTGAAGTGATTCAACTAAAAGCCTGGAAGTTAATCTATATAAACAGGAAGCAGTTGTGTAACCACTCATCTGTAAAGTATTATTTGAGCTCTTCCAGATAATTTCATCTTAAGAGTGTCAGATAAATGATTGTTCAAGCTGTTCATATTTAATTTTTATTTTAGAACTAGTGGTGACCAGATGGATCCATTGACCAGCCCTTAATTTTAAGCTACCAAGTACACTGTATTTGTTTAAATCTTCTGTGAGAATGAGAAGCAGAATTCTTTTCTTTTGAATACTTTTTCACCAGCTCAAAGCCATAAAATGATGTATCTTTGAGAATGTTTCTGCACATTTTAAAAAATTTTCATTCAGTACACAATAAGCAAGAGCTATTACAAAGAAATGTAGTCTCTTGCCAAATAAATGTGTTACCTTTGACCTAATTGTTTTGTGTTCCCCGATAAGAACAAAATAAATGGAATTGCAGAAAACTCATAAGAATTACAGTGCTTGGCTAGGTGCAGTGGCTCACGCCTGTAATCCCAGCACTTTGGGAGGCTGAGGTGGGAGGATCACCTGAGGTCAGGAGTTCAAGAGCAGCCTGGCCAACATGGTGAAACCCCATCTCTACTAAAAATACAAAATAAAAATAAAAATAAAAATAGCTGAGCATGGTGGCAGGTGCCTGTAATCCCAGCTCCTGGGGAGGCTGAGGCAGGAGAATCTCTTGAACCCAGGAGGCAGAGGTTGCAGTGAGCAGAGACCACACCATTGCACTCCAGCCTGGGCAACAAAAGTGAAACTCTGTCTCAAAAAATAAAATAAAATTACAGTGCTGTATACTCTTTTCTCTTCAGAGAAGCAGAGGTGTATTATTGGCCTTCTGTTGCACTGGTAATAGTGGATTACTTACTTATTCAATTGCTTGTTTCTACCTGCATGCATGGGATTCAATTTTAAGTGTAGGGTGAGGTTTGTTGCCTAAACAATAAGTAAGTAGAAATGGAAATTTATGAGATGTTTGTGGGGAATAAACAATTGCATATATTTCTATTTAGTAAATGTTGCTGCACTGAGATATCCAGAAAAAAAAAAAGTCATTGCTAAAGATAATTTTCTTTCCTTTTTTTTTTTTTCAAATGAGACAGTCTTGCTCTCTTGCTGTGGCAGCGATCATAGCTTAGTGCAGCCTCAAGCTCTTGGGCTTGGGCTTAAGGGATCTTCCTACCTCAGCCTCCCAAGTAGCTAGGACTACACGCACACCACCAAGCCAGTTAATTTTTAAATTTTTTTGTAGAGACGGGGTCTCTGTGTTGCTTAGGCTGGTCTCAAACTCCTGGCTTCAAGTGATCCTGGCCTCAACCTCCCAAAGTGCTGGTATTACAGGTGTGAGCCACTGTACCTGACCAAAAAGGAATTTTCTTTACCTGTTATTTTTTTGCTTAAGACTTTTATTCTGTGTTTCAGATTATGTGCTTTCATCTAATATTTCTGAATTACTCATTTCCGAATTACTCATTTTTTTAACATCTTAGCAAATTTCTGTTTTTGAGTATTTGGTTGTAGTCAGTATATTAAAATATCTCACTGCATTCTGTTTGGCTGGCCCCCAGAAATCTAAACAGCATTTGTTATTTTTGCTGTTTTCAGTGTGATTCGTCATAGAGATGTTCGATCCTGTCACTATGGTGTAATAGACAAATTCCGTCTTCAAGTTTCTGAGCAAAGCCAGAGGAAGGCTTTGGGAAGAAAAGAGGTTGTTGCTACTCTTCTCCCATCAGCAAAAGAACAACAAAAGGAAGAAGAGGAAAAAAGAATAAAGGAACATTTAACTGAAAGTTTATTTTTTGAGCAGTCATTTCAACCAGGTAGTTTTGGGGTTGTTTTTAAAGCCCTTTTGATGTCTTACACATTATTAACTTTAAAATAATCAGGCAGCTAAGAATAATTACTAGAAAAATCATCTACCATTTCAAACATGGTCAACTACTTTAAAACTGAACCTAGAGAATCAGGGACCTGAAGTAGAACAAGAAGCCTGGAGGTGGATTTTGAGAGGAGGGAATACCCCTCACTGGACTAGGCTGTAAGGAGAGGGTAGATGTTGCTGTAGCCTTTTAAATATATCTGTATTTAAACATAAACATAAACATATCTAAGACTGCAGGCACCATACTTTATGAAGCTAGTAAATTTGGCAGTTCTATACTTCTGTTTCCATGACTTTCCTATATCCTTTCTCATTTAATTAGTTCCAAGGAAGAGAGAGATTGTGTTTGGCAATAGGCCAAGCTTAGTGCACTGTTCATATTATTTTGAAAAAAAAAACTCATTAAAGTTGAAGTTAATTAAACTAAGTAGATTATAATATCCCCTGTGGGCTATTAATTGAATCCCTCTCCAGCCCTCATTTCCTTCCAGCTTAGATATTCAGAAGTGTTATGATATATTCTTTCAACATTGACACTACCCTCATATTCAACTCTTTGGATGTCATTACCCCGTCTTCTTAACTTCTCATTATCTCCTCCTAAACCTGTTATAGTAGAAGGAAGATAAAATTTTCCATAGAAAAACAGGGAAACTGGAAACTTTTTGATGGTGATACCGATACATGAATATGATAGCAGCTGTCCTTGAAATTGCAACATTTTATGAAGGATTAAAAAAATCTAATTGCGGTTACATTCAGTCATATCAGTTTGTTCATCTTAGAATGTTTATTTCCGCCGGGCATAGTGGCTCACGCCTGTAATCCCAGCACTTTGGGAGGCCAAGGTGGGTGGATCATGAGGTCAGGAGATCGAGACCATCCCAGCTAACACAGTGAAACCCTGTCTCTACTAAAAACACAAAAAATTAGCCGGGCATGGTGGTGGGTACCTGTAGTCCCAGCTACTCGGGAGGCTGAGGCATGAGAATGGTGTGAACCCGGGAGGTGGAGCTTGCAGTGAGCCAGTGCCACTGCGCTCCAGCCTGGGTGACAGAGCGAGACTGTCTCAAAAAAAAAAAAAAAAAAAAGAATGTTTATTTCAATAACAGGAAGTAGTAGTGCCTCTTTGATTTACTGTAGCTAAGAGTCTCTTCCTAGTCCATTAGGGACCATCTAGATTTTCTGGTAATACCAGGACTAGTGACTAGGTAGTAGCTATTAGGTTGGTGCAAAAGCAATTGCGATTTTTGCCATTACTTTTAATTGCAAAAACCGCAATTACTTTTGCACCAACCTATAGTGGATTGTTTTATTCTGACCAATTAGTATCAACTGACAGGACCAGCTTTTCATCTTTTGAAGCTGAAAGAGAACCTTTGTCCAGTGTCACTCTGTCAGATCAATATTGTAAAGTTAACGTAGTTATGAAATGCAAGATTCCCTTTTTAAAATGCTTCCTCTGGTATAAGAAAGAAAGGCCATTTAATTTGTATTTGTTTTTTGAAGTTACACTTGTAATTTAAAATAGTCTTTGAAGTTCAGTTTTGTATTTAACAGATTGGTTTAATAACCAATCTGGAGTAAGGAATAATAAGGAGTAAGGTTTAGGGTATATGTGTATGTAAATATATGTAAGGAGAACTTTATTCCTCTTATTGTGAAATTTATTAAAATTCAGGTGAAGATCATGCTAAGAGGCTAAATAATTATAGTATGTATTGTCTTATTTTGTTTTATTTTTTATTTTTTGAGAAAGGGTTTGTCTCTGTCGCCCAGGCTAGAGTGCAGTGGTGCCATCATAGTTCACTGCAGCCTCCAACTCCTGGATTCAAGTAATCCTCCTGCATCAGCCTCCCGAGTAGCTGGGACTACAGGTGCTCGTCACCACACCCAGGGTCTCACTATGTTGCTCAGGCTTGTCTTGAACTCCTAGCCTCAAGCAGTCCTCCTGCCTCAGCCTCCTAAAGTACTGGGATTACAGGCCTGAGCTCCCGCACCCGGCCTTATTTCATTTTTCTAACAAACCTTGGTGTCTAAAGTATATTAGAGAGTTTTTCTAATTATAAAATTGGAGTAGGCAGATGAATGAGGATAGGTGATGCTAGCATAACACATGGTGATCTCTGTTTTGGGGGAAAAAATTCTCTAATCCATTCCTGTAAGGAAGCTCAATGAAGGCAGGCACTTTTCCTAGTACTATTATATCCTCAGTACCTAGCGCAGGGCCTGGCACAGAGAAGCTACATAATGAATTTGTAAATGAGCTGAGCTAGGAAGGCTGGACTTCAGGTCTGGTAAGGGTCTGTGGGAATGGTGAGTTTTTTTGTTTTGTTTTGGCTTACAAGGTTTTCATGGCTATGACAGCTGTTTAGAGGAAGGGTGATACCACAGTACAGCCCCATTCACAGTCCTGGCCAACATGTCCCATTTATGGGTAGTTACCCCAATGTGTCTAATAACCTGGAAGTAAGTTGAGTAAAGTTTTCTTCTTTAATAGAATATCATGATGACTGATTTCGTCTCCTGTCTATTAAATTTACAGGAATTTATATGTCGTTTCCAATATGTGGAAAACTCAGGTTTTTACGTTTTTCTGAACTAAAATGTTGAAAATTAATTGAGATTGTTTTGGGAGGCTTTGAAATGTCATTACTTTTACAAGTCCTTAGCTTAGAGAATATTTCAACAAATGCATATTATTAAAGTATTAGAGGTACAACAGTGTTGTGAGACTCACTTTTAGCAGGAAAATGGTTGATGGCTACATTATGAAAAATTTGGATTTTGAAATATATTGAAAGTCAGTAAAAATGAGAAAAATTTAAGTTTATTGTATAAAACACATATAGCAATAACATAAGAAAATGTACCTGTAATCTCACACACTTAACACATCTGCTTATATAAGTGTTCCATGTTACTTTCCAGACCTTGCCTATGTGCATAAGTATATCTTGTGAGTTTTTTTATTCAACAGAAATTTAAGTATACTTTCATAAAATACTAGAGCTCAGGTTATTAAAAAGCCATTTTAAAAGATACATCTGAATATTAGTGGGTTTGTCTTAATTACATTATTAATGAACTGCTATGTCTATGCTATAATGTTTGAGTCAGTACCCTCTGGCTTAAGAAAAGTATAGTCTTAATTATTGTTTATAATAATAAAAAAATTGAAAATAACTGAAAAGTCCATCAATTGGGAATTGATTAAATTATAAATATTCATAAGGTAGTGTGCCAGGCAGACATTTACGAGGATCTGATAGAATGATGAATGCTTATACATTGTCATATAAAGAGCTTCAAATATATTTCTAAGTAAGGAAAAAAAAACCAGTTATATAACAGTATGTATAATATGGCCTTATTTATGTCAAAGATTCTCCTACATGTTTATACGGGCATTTGTAAAATCTAAAAGGATACATACCAAGCTGCTAACAGTGTTAGCTCTAGGAGGGTGGAATTATGGAGGAACATTCACGTTTTCTACATCTTTATAACATATTTTACAACGATCCTGTAGTACTAGGGGGAAAAAAGCTTTTTCCATTTTGAAAAATTTCAAGCATTTATGTAAATGTTTTTGGAATACTAAAAATTCCAATTTCTCTAAATACTACATGTTCTCTAAATACTAAAAATTATTTGAAATTACCTTTATTGTGGGTTTGCAGTGAATGGTGTACTTGTCATAAATAACTGTTTTCCTTAAGAATTCATCCTTGCAACAAAGATAACTATAAAGGTACTCTATTAACTGAAACAAGACTTGGGGTTTTTCTTTTAGGTATTTCTGCTATTGTTTCATTCCAAGCAATAATTACTATAAAATTTGAATTTGTTTTCACCTCTCTGGCTCTGATGAAGTTCAGTTAACGCCACACAACAGCTAAGGTATTAATAATTTAGAAAAGTTCCATTTAATAATAGAATGAACAGCATTATTTCATTAATGAAACACAAAGATTGTGTTGCTGTTGGCTATTCCTTTTAATGAAAGGAAAGGTAGTGGGAAAAGCTGTATGAAAGAAAATGCTGTTACTGGGTTTCTTAAAAATACGGGTATGTATACTATACAAATAGAGTCAGAACTGTAGAATAGCAGGTGTGATAACATTTTTAATTTTTTTTTTTTTTTGAGACGGAGTCTTGCTCTGTCACCCAGGCTGAAGTGCAATGGTGCAGTTTAGGCTCACTGCAACCTCCACCTCCCGAGTTCAAGCGATTCTCCTGCCTCAGCCTCCTGAGTAGCTGGGATTACAGGCGCCTGCCACCACACCCGGCTAATTTTTGTATTTTTAGTAGAGATGGGGTTTCACCATGTTGGCCAGGCTGTTCTCAAACCCCTGACCTCATGATCCACCTACTTTGGCCTCCCAAAGTGCTGGGATTACAGGCGTGAGCCACCATGCCCGGCCTTTTTAAAAAATCTTTTAGAATTTTATTTTAGGAACATTTAACATGAGACCTAGTCTCTTAATGAATGTTTGTGTACAATAAAATATTGGTTAAATGGAGGGATAACGTCGAGTAGATTTCTAGGACTCACTCAGTTTACATAATTGAGACCTATGCCCATTGATTAGCAATTTGCATTATCCTCCTCCCCCAGCCCCTGGCAACTACCATTTTGCTCTCTGCTTCTATGAGTTTGACTATTTTAGATTTCCTGTATAAGTGGAATCATGCAGTATTTGTCCTTCTGTGACTGGCTTATTTCACTTAGCGTATTTGCCAGATACCGTTTCTGCTGTTTTCTTCTTTGCTATAAATGGGTTAGAGCAGAGGGAAACACTTTTGGTTCCTTAACATTTTCAAAATTGATAGCAGGATGTACAGTTATTAGGATCAAACCTATCTGGGGAGCTCCTTAAAATATTCCCAAAAGGTAGTGGAGGTCTAGTGTGGCAGGCTCAAATTGAATATACACAGGCAAGCCACTGGGGTACTGGAAGAAAATATCAGAACTTCAATTTATATTTATTTTTAGCACATTCTTCCAAAAATCTATTTGTATGTTTTATATTAAGCCTAACAGTACAGAACTTGTGCATATAATTTTAAAATGTGCATACATTGATGATACATGCTTGAATACTTTCTACTGACTAGGGTGGGATGGTCGGGGGAGTTGGTGACCACCTTTCAGTAAGAGCTCACTACCTCACAATGCCACGTCAGCATTCCATCCTGCAATGATTCAGACCAGTTAAGACATGGGCTTCCACATCAGCCCAGCAGTTAACTCTCTGACGGATGAAAACGATGGGGAAACAATCGGAGAAGTTAGACAAAATCAGAATTCTGGTGAGTGGCGGCCAGTGTATGTGAAGGAACTTTTGTCTTAAAGTTTTTAGAAGGAAGCTTAGGGATTTTTGTCTTTTTACAGAAAACAGAGCTGTCTCCTCAGGACCTAGTTTACTAACTGTCTTCCTGGGAGTGGTGTGCATTGCAGCCCTGATGCTGCCTACAATGGGGGATGTGGAATCGCTGGTGCCTCTCTACCTCCACTTAAGTGTGAATCAAAAATTAGTGGCTGCTTATATCTTAGGTAAGGGTTTTAAAGATGCATTTGGGACATATGTGTAGGATTTTATGTGTTTATGGGTGGTGGTGGTTTGATTTTTTTTTTTTTTTTTCCTGAAGAACAGGTAAAGAAATGTTTCAAGAGCAGGTTGAGGTCAGGTGCCTTTGAAGACTTTTTCAGCTCACATTTAGTTCTTTTTAGCTTATTTATCTAGTACCTGATACTGTATTCAATTATTTTCCTTTTGCCGACTTACAATGTCATAAAACATGTATAAAATGTAAACCGCATGCATTCCATGATACAGCATTTCTACTTTTAGGAATTGCTCCTAGGGAAACAAAGTACATGTGGTGATAAAGATGAATAATGCAGCCTTGTTTAATATTGTGAACCTTTCTCTTTTATTATTATTTTTTCTTTACTTTTGAAGGCACCATGTTCAGAACTTTTTAAGCCAATTCCCTTATTTCCTGTTGATTCACTATTTCAGTCATCCTGGCTTGAAATCTTAAGAGTTAATTATTTCAATGGAACAAATATTTATTCTGTACCTTCCATGTGTTGAGGATTAGTGTTCTGGTGATGAGTGACTTTCCTCATGTTCTCCTCTCACCTTTGCTTAGATGCCAACTCTTTTCGGTATTCCCTGGCATATGTGCTTTCTCTTATTTATTTATTTATTTATTTAGAGACGAAATTTCCCTCTTGTTGCCCAGGCTGCAGTGCAATGGCGCATTGTCAGCTCACTGCAAGCCTCGCCTTCCAGGTTCAAGCGATTCTCCTGCCTCAGCCTCCCGAGTAGCTGGGATTACAGGCATGCACCACCACACCCAGCTAATTTTGTATTTTTAGTAGAGACGGGGTTTCTCCATGTTGGTCAGGGTGATCTCGAACTCCCAACCTCAGGTGATCTGCCCAACTCGACCTCCCAAAGTGCTGGGGTTACAGGCGTGAGCCACCAGGCCTGGCTGCTCTCTTTTATTTTGAGAATCATCTTCTTGATGATTCTCTTGATCGTCTACCTTCTGTCTGTGTTCCTTCTTTTTCTTCCCCCATTCATTCCCACCCCCAACCATCCATCATATTGTCATATTTATTTCTCTTTTGCTCTCATGACCACCCCCTAGTCAAAAATCTTCAGTGGTTCCCCATAATCCATACGATGAAGTATATAACCTTCAGTGCCATAGTTTGGCATTTAAGACTCTCCACAATCTGAGACCTCTCTGAGCCAAATTTGTCTAGCTGCTTCCTCCTGTAAATCATTGCCTAAAGCCTTTTAGATTATTCACTCATTCTGGAAAAGCTCCTCTAGAGGCCTGGTTCTCCAGGCCCTTACTCATGCCATTCCCTCACCTGAAATGCCTGCCCATCTCCTCGTTCTCTCTCTCTTTCCTGTCCATGTCTTTTTTTTTTTTTTTTTTTTGTCTATTTTTCATTTTTATGTGTTTTCATTTATTGTTTATTTTTTTGCGATAAAGTCTCACTCTGTCACCCAGGCTGAAGGGCAGTGGGTGGCCGGATCTCAGCTCACTGCAACCTCCGCCTCCCCAGTTCACTCCCCAGTTCTCCTGCCTCAGCTTCCCAAGTAGCTGGGATTACAGGTGCTTGCCACCACACCCGGCTAATTTTTGTATTTTCAGTAGAGACGGGGTTTTGCCACGTTGGCCAGGCTTGTCTTGAACTCCTGACATCAGGTAATCCACCTGCCTTGGCCTCCCAAAGTGCTGGCATTACAGGCGTGAGCCACCATGCCTGGCCCCTGTCCATCTTGTAAAGCAGCTTTTTATCATTGGGGGCAACTTTTCTGACTGCCCCAGTCTCATGTGATTATCCTCCGTCTCTGTACTTTTTTTTTTTTTAAATGACACTTTCATCATCCTTCATTTAGGACTGAGCATATTCTTATTCTTATTTTATATTTTATATATTCTCTCTTCAAAAGAAAGAAGCAAAGCAGGAATGCCATGCTTCTGTCTCTTTGTGGCCCTAGGGCCCTGGGATACAGGTAGACTCTTGATGCTTCTGTTAACAAAGTCGACTGGCTTTACCCATGCTTTAAAATGGCACATCTGCTGTTATGGCTGATGTGACTGAATAAAGTAGGAGGTATGTTTGATAGTTTGCTGTGGCCAGACATTAGTGATTTAATTAAATCTCTCCAGTGACTGCCCATTGCTATAAATTGGATTTCTTCTTTATAATATCAACAAAATTCAAATTGACTTTGAGTTCTTGGTAGAGTGCCTGCCTATGTGCTATGTTTTATTTGTTCACTGAGGTCCAAACAATTGCTTATTGAATGAAATATTCTATTAGATGCATATCTTTAACTGTTCTCCATTTTTTTTCTTTCAGGTCTTATCACAATGGCCATACTTAGAACATGAGCAAGGATTTCAGTTGACTTCTGAAGTAAATCTATCTTGAAAATATGAATGTGGACTGCCTTTTATCTCT